TAAAAGCAATTTATTTTATTTGCATTACTAATTTTTTGGTTTTTTATTTACGTGACTTTACCGAAAGAACCAAGAATATGAATATTCGTTTAAAGTATTTGGCTGCTATAATTTACACGTGATGATGAGCCACTTCGTTGAGCTATTATTGGTGCCAAGTCGCTTCTGAATAAGTAATATTTAAAAGTACTTTTTTTTTTAAAAAACACGCTTTAATTAAATTAAATGTACCACGACTCCAGGAAGTGGCCCCGATGCTTGCCAACGTCAGTTGAGCGTGGACAATTAGACCCAAGCCGAAACATAACATATAAAATGAATGTTTAAAACTACTTGTTTTTTTATAGAATGTAGTTTTGTCATCAGTATGACATAAGTATACCAAGTTTGCAGTCGATACCACATTGGGAAGTGGGTTAAAATTGAGTTGCAAGATTTGAGGATACGACAACAACAACAGAGTGAGTTAAATAAAAGCGCGTAATAAAAGAGATGTTTATCTCAGTGGACCTTACCTGGTGAAATGAAAATCGTTGAGATTTTAGTCTAGTTTTATCTCTCCTTCCCGAGCACAACAACAAGCAGGAGTAGTGGGAGGAGCATTCTCCACTAACGGCGCTTGTGCCAGGATATGTACACCACAGATATCCATCACATAGAGACCCAGAGAGTCATCACACATAGACCTATACACTCACTACGCACAGACCCTCAGACTCGCACAGAGGTCTGTAGACTCACCACACAAACACATGGACTCACCACAGAGCCCCATAGACTCACCACACAGCCCCATAGACTCACCCCACAGAGACCCATGGACTCACCCCACAGAGACCCATAGATTTATACAAAAACGCATAGACTCATCACACAGAGAACCACCGATTCAAACAGACTCACAGAGAGACCCAAGGGCTCGCACGTGAATTTGTGGTGATTTAGTTGAAGGTGGAGGGGGGTTACCTGCCCCTCGCACCCATCCAGAACTCCCTGTGGCCACTGGTGGCTGCGGGCGACGTGAGGTTCACAGCTGGTCAGGGTTGGCGCCCCCCTTCCCCCAAAACGGCATCTCTCACAACCACCGCTGCATTATCGACCGTCACCATTCGCCAATAAGTGACAGTGACGTCACCACAGCGCCTGTGCCAGGCCAGGTGCACTTTGAAGCCACGTGAAGTGTCGAAGGCTCGCTGACCGGAGGTCCTGGAACAGACCCAGGTGCCATGGGTTGGCTGACTGAGATGACTGGCAGCACCACCTGTACCCTGTACTGTGCCAAATTGCTGCATATTTATCATCCGGTGTTCCGCTCGTTGTTGTGAGCGTCACTCCTCCGTTGTTGTTGGAGGGCGAGTGTCGCCAACTGCCAAGTAGAAGCATCCTTCACGAGCCTCCCCGCAGAGGCCGATCTCGATACCACTGGTACCAGTCGTCGGCAAAGCCCACTCAGCTCCACATCCTCCCGTACCGCATCAGTCCACCTCCACTCCAGCCCATGCCGTGCCTGCCAAGCTCCCTCCATCCACCCATATACTCACTTACCAGCTTACTCACGCATTCACCCACTCATATCTGCTCACGCACCCACGCATGAAATTTTAAATGCAGGCTACGCAAAGCATCGTGATCAATTTACACCAAAATATACTCTCAATCACTTAAACCACATATTCGTAAATGATGCGCACCCTAATCAGCCACTATGGCTGCGTGCAGGGTGTTGTGATGTCACGTAGTACGACGTTTTTCTTGCTCCCCCCCCGTTTTAACGCGTTGTCTATCTATGGCCTCGTCACATTGGCCTTAATGGACGCGTGGTGATGGTGAAAGATGATTCGGCGGTGGATACTGAATTGCCGGAGCCCCATTTAACATTCAGGTGACACGGGGCACGGCACGTGAAGAACCTCTTATGTTCTGTAAGCAGACTTCTCTGCGTGGGATAGTTAACACCTCTTAATGCACAGACAACCGCCAACGCAGCCTCGCCTGCCGGAGGAGCTCGCTGATGATCGGACAGTGTTCAGATCTCTCAAGGATCTGTGAGCTACTCGCACACAAAGATCCCCGTGTAGCCTTTAACAGACTGTTGGGGCAAGTGCTTTATAACATCATCAAAGGGGCGCTGCAATACGATGCAATCAAAATCACCGATCAGAGATTTTCCCATATATGGTCTTTGTTGATTGTGAATCGATAGTAATTGTATTGATTCCACTCAGTCGATACAGCAGCAAGCTCAAAATGTCCGATTTTATCTGAAAATTTCTGCGTTTCACAGATCATACAAAGCAACGGTATCGATGCCTGGTTTGTATGTACTTTTTATTTAAAAAATCTTTTTTATTGTAGTCTATCAGACTTTTGTATTAAATCGCTCTGCAAAAAGTCATTTTGTATGCTAATAAATCAATGTTATGCTAATGCAAAATTTCATCATAGCCGCGACTCGGTTTACTCCAATGTGCAATGTCATCTTTATTTCGATCCTGTGAGTGTACAATTTTTTTATTAAACTTCATTTACTGAGTGAATACAAGACCACTTATATGCTGATGTCCATTTTTATCATAGCTGTGATTCATTCAGCCATTCACTCACTCAGCCACAAACTCACTCAGCCACACACTCACTCAACGACTCACTCAACTACTCAGCCGCTCACTCACTCAGATATTCACTCACTCAACCACTCACTCACTCAATAATTAACTCAACCACTCAACCAATCATTCAACCACCCACTCACTCAATCACTCAACCATCACACTCTCACTCACTCAACCATTCACTCACTCAGCCACTCACTCAGCCACTCACTCAGTCACTCACTCAGTCACTCAACCACTCGCTCACTAAACCACTCGCTCATTCAACCGCTCGCTCACTCAACCATTCACTCACTCAACCACTTGCTTGCTCACTCAACCACTCACTTGCTCACTCAAGCACTCGCTCACTCAACCAATCACCCAACCACTCGCTCAACGATTCACTCAACCCCTCACCAAACCACTCACTCAACGACTCACCAGAATCCTCTCGGCTTGGGGACTCACTTAACCACTCACTTAACCATTCACTTAACCACTCACTAGAGCAACCACTCACTCACTTAATGACTTACTCAACCACTCAACCAATTACTTTCTCACTCACTCAGCCACTCACTCCTTCACTCAGCCACTCACCCTTTCACTCAGCCACTCACTCATTTAGCCACTCACTCAGCCACACACTCAACCACTCAGCCGCGCACTCACGAAGCTACTTACTCACGAAGCTACTTACTCACTCAACCACTCACTCACTTAATCACTTACTCAGCCACTCAACCATCACTCTTTAACTCACTCAACCATTCACTCAATCAGCCACACTCACTCAACGACTCACTAACTTAACCGCTCAGCCGCTCAGTTACTCTATCTCAATCACTCAACCACTCACTCATTCAACCATTCCCGAATTCATTCAACCAGTCACTCAACCATTATGTCGCTGGACGAGTCCCACCTTGATGGGTCTGCGACATTTCTTTCCAGAGTTATTGCCAAAAAACCACAAACATCCCAGAATCCTCTCGGTTTGGGGTCCAAATGTTGTCACTTATTATATCCCATGAGAAACATCGCATCGAATAAATGTGATTGGATTCTCCCCGCCTGGACGAGCAGAATTGAATATGTAAGCATCAGGGTTTGGATCAAACCTACAACCTCCTGTATACCGGGCGAAGTAGTGAACTCGTCACCCGGGTCGCCCTAATCCATTCCCGTATCTCTTCTGTGTGTGTGCTACAGGCGGGTGTCTCAGATTGCCAGCACCATGTGATGGGAGCTCCAGGGCATGCTGCGTGCTCGCCAGGAGGGGCTGGGCAAGATGGCGTAGTCGCTGGAGCAGCTGCGGGCGCGGCACCGTCGCTCTCACCCTGGCGGAGTGCAGCAACACAGTGGAGCGGCACCAGCGGGACACTCTGGACAACGCAGCCAAGGTGCGCGCCAGCCACTCACTCACTCATCCACTCACTCACTCAGCCACACATACAACCACTCACTCACTCATCCACTAACTTAAACCACTCACTCAACTACTCACTCACTCAACCACTCACTCAACCATTCACTCAAACATCCACTTACTCAACCACTCAATCAATCACTCACTCAGTCATTAACTTAACCACTCACTCAACCACACACTCATGCGCTTTAAACACTCACTCATTGGTTCAAACACTCACTCATTCAAATACTCATTCAACCACTCACTAATTCACTCAACCACTCACTCACTGAACCACTCACTCGCTCACTCAACCACCCGCTCGCTCACTGAACCAATCGCTCCATAAATCACTCATTCAGCCACTCACTCAACCATTCACTCACTCACTCACTCAGCCACTCACTCAACCAATCAATCACTCAATCATGAATTAAACCGCTCACTCACTCAACCCCTTACACACAGGCTCATCACCTGTGTCTCAACCATCTTACTGAGTAACATAACTCTTTTTTTAGAAGTGACCTGGCCACAAGTGATAGGTCAACAACGTGCCTTATGTGGAAATATATAGCAGCCAACTACTCTAAATGCCTGTTTCTAAATGTGTAGGGAAAATCCAGAGGACCAGAATAAAAATCCACTTGACCACGGAGAGAACATGCAAACTCCAAATACACAGGTGTCAGGGTTGGGATCTAACCGACAACCTCCTGTATACCAGACGAGGTAGTTAACATTGTATCCGGGCAAGCCGTACATCGAGCTGGAGTGGACCATGCGGCCCATCCCTATCGCGTGAGTGGCTCCCACTGTTGTTATTGTGTTCATATGTGTGTGGTCTGCTTGTGTGTATGCGTGTGCCGCACTGCGCTATGAACCCAACATGACCAGGCTGTTGCCCCGCTCGCCCGACTCGTTGTGAGGCTTGCCCACCCCCCAGGGCGTTGTCGTGAAGATACCGCTGGGAGGAAGAATATCTCACAATACTGGAAGAGGTGAGGACTACACAGTGATTAACTGAGTGGGTCTGTGAGTGAGTTAGTGGATGAGTCGGTGGGTGAGTCGGTGGGTGAGTGGGTAGGTCAGTGGTTGAGGGAGTAGGTGAGTGAGTGTGTTAGAGAAGTGGGTGTGTTGAATGTGAGTGAATAGATGAGTGTGTGGAGCAGTGGATTGTTGAGTGAGTCGTTGGGTGAGTGAGTAGGTGGGTGTGGGTTAGAGATTGAGTGGGTGGTGGGTGATTGTGTGAATTAGTGGGTGGGTGGGTGAGTGAATGGTTTGAAGTGATTGATTAGGTGAGAGAGTGGGTGAGAGGTGGGTTGGTGAGTGGATGAGAAAATTGGTGGGTTACAGATTGAGTGGGTGGGTAACTAGGTGATTGGGAGGGTGAGTGGGTGAGTGGCTTATTGGGTGAGTAAGTCGGTGGGTGAGTAGGTGAGTGCCTGGATAAGTAAGTGAGTGTATGGGAGCATGAGTGGGTGGATGGTTGAGTAGGTGGGTGAATAGGTGAGTGGGTGGTGGGTGGGTGAATTAGTGAGTGACTGTGTGAGTGAGTGCGTGGGTAGGTCAGTGCGATATTGTGTGGGGGAGTGGGTGAGTGAGGGCTTGAGTGAATAGGTTAGTGGGCGGGTGAGTAGATTGTTGGGTGAGTGGGTGGGTGGGTGAGTCAGTTAGTGGGTGGGTGAGTGAATATCGAAGGTTGAGCAGGTGAGTTGTTAGTGTGTGATTGGGTGGGTGGGTGAGTCAAAGAGTGGGGCACCACGGTGGCGACATGTTAACTACCTCACCTAGTATACAGGATTTTGTGAATTCGATCCCATCCCTTCCACCTGTATATTTGGAGTTGGCATGTTCTCCCTGTGGTGTGGATTTTTCTCTGGGTCCTCCAGGTTTTCTCTCCATATTTAAAATCAACATTCATTTAGAGGATGTGGCTGCAATGAATGTCTCCATGATAATCCACTTCGTTAACCTATCATTTGTAACCAGGTCACTTCTGAAAAATATTAATTTAGTTATCTGAACCAGAGGTCGCAACCGGGTACCCGATACCCGTACCCTACCCGATACCCGGCTACCCGTACCCGGCCGGGTACGGTACGGGTAGCCGTTTGCGACCCTGGGCGGCCGGGTACGGGTACGGATAGGCCCTGAGGCACTGGTGAGTAACCGTTTGTCACTCATTTCGGGTAGGGTACGGGTACGGGTAGGGAACGGGTACCCGTACCTCTGATCTGAACCTTTTCTGGTAAAATAAAAAATATTGTTTAATTTAGTTTATTGGGTGGGTGAGTGGGTAGGTGGGTTATTGAGTGATTTGCTGGGTAGGTTAGAGAATGAGTGGGTGAATGGGTGGGTGTGTGAGTGGGGGTGTGATTAGTTGAGTAGGTGAGTGGGTGAGTAAATTGTTGAGTGAGTGGATTAGAGATTGAGTGGGTGGCAGGGTGAGTGGGTTTGTGAGTGGATTGGTGGGTGTTTGAATGGGTGAGTGGGTGGAGTGCCGTGGTGGCGAGCTGTTAACTACCTCGCCTTTTATACAGGAGGTCGTGAGGTCGATCCCGACCCTGACACCTGTATATTTGCATGTTCTCCCCATGGTTCCGTGGAATTTTCTCCAGGTGCTCCGGGTTCTCCCTCCACATTTAAAAACATGCAATTATAGAATTTGGCTGCTATCACTTTATACGTGAAAAGCCACTTAATTGAGTTGAATATTTGTGGTCAAATGGTTTTTGAAAAATATCTATATAGCTGAGTGCCTTACCTGGTAAAATAAAAAAGCGTAATTTTCATTTAGTGTGCAAAGGAGTGGCTGGGTCGGTGAGTGGATGAGTGAGTGCGATGTTTGATGGGTGTTTTATTTTACTTTTATTAATTTACATTTTTTTTACCTACGTGACTTTACCGAAAAAACCTAAGAATAGTTTAATGGGTAGTAGGTCAGTGGTGGGGTGAGTGAGTGTGGGCTAGAGATTGAGTGGGTGGCTTGGTGAGTGGGTGAGTGTGTGCTTGGCTCGGTGGTTGAATGAATGGATGGTTGAGTTAGTGGGTGGGTGTTTGAGTGTGTGTTATCGTGGGTGGGAGAGTCAGAGAGTGGAGTGCCATGTTGGCAAATTGTTAACTACCTTGCCTGGTATTTTTAAGTTCGTAGGTTCGATCCAAACCCTGCTTCTAAAAACAACCTATATAGCTCAGCGGGCCTTACCTGGGGAATTTTTTTTTTAGATTTAGTTAAGGGTGTTGGTGAGTGGGCGGGTGGGTGAGTGCATCAGTGTGGGTTTGAGATTTAGTGGGTGGCTTGGTGAGTGGGTAAGTTCGAGTAACTCAGTGGTTGAGTTAGTGGGTGGTTACGTTAGTAGGTGATTAAATTAGTGGGTGGGTCAATAATTACGTGGGTAGTGGGTGAGTGGCTGAGTGGCTGAGGGAGTCGGCGGGTGGTTGGCTGGGTGGGTGGGTGGGTTATAAATTGAGTAGGTGGCAGGGTGAGTGGATCTGAAAGTGGGTGAGTGAGTAGGTGCACGGCTGGGTGAGTTAGTGAGTGGATGGTTGAGTGAGTGGGTGAGTGTGTGGGTGCATGGATGTGTGGGTGGGTGAGTGTGTGTGGGTAGGAGGTTAGGTGGGTAGTGCGTGAATGGATGGGTTAGAAATCGAGTGAGTGGGTTAGTCACTGGGTGAGTGAGTGGATGGGTGGGTTTGTGAGCTTTGGTTAAGAGATTGAGTCAGTAGTAGGGTTTGTGTGTGGTTTAGAGATTGAGTGTGTGGTTGGGTGAGTGGGTGGTTGGGTGAGTGGGTGGGTTAGAGATTGAGTGGCTCGGTGAGGGAGTATTGGGTGGGTGAAGTGAGTTGGTGGGTCGGTGAGTGCGTGGGTGGGTGATTCAGTAAGTGGGTGAGTGAGGGGTTGGGTGAGCGATGGGTTGAGTGGGTGTCTTTTTTGTTCGTGAGTTTGTGGGTGGGTGAGTTGGTCAGTTAGTGGTTGGGTGAGTAAGTGGGTGGGTGAGCAAGTGAGTGAATGGGTGTGTTGGTAGGTGAGTGTGTAGCTTGGTGAGTGTTCGTAGGGTGAGTGGGTCGGTGAGAAAGTGGTTAACGGAGTGAGTGGTTGGGTGGGTGGGTGAGTTGTTGACTGAGTGGGGTCAGCGAGTGGGTGGGTGAGTTGATGTGGGAGGTTGAGTGGGTAAGTTAGTGTTTGAGTTATTGGATGGGTAAGTCAGAGAGTGAGGCGCCAAGGTGGTGAGACGTGCACTGCCTCGCCTGGTATACAGGAGGTTGTGGATTCGATCCTGACCCTGTCGCCTGTATATTTGGAGTTTGCATGTTCTACACATGGTCACGTGGATTTTGCTGCAGGTCCTCCGGGTTTTCCCCTCTGCATTTAGAATCAACATGCGTTTAGAAGATTTGGCTGCAATAAATGTCTATGTGATAAGCCACTTCGTTTATCTATAATTTGTTCACAGGTCTATTCTGAAAAGGATCTATATAGCTCAATGGGCCTTACCTGGGGAAATAAAAAGTAGTTTAGTTTAGGGGGTAGGTGCCTCGTTGGGTCGGTAGGTCTGTTGCAGGTCGAGTAGGTGGCAGGGTGAGTGGGTGAGTAGGTAAGTGGCTGGGTGAGTGGGTGGACTGGTGAGTGTGTGAGTTAGAGATGGAGTGGGTGGATGGGTGGGTGTATGATTGGGGGAGTGAAATGGTGAGTGGATGGGTGAATGAATTGTTGAGTGAGTGAGTCAGTGAGTGGGTGTGTAGGTGGGTGCGTAGGTAAGTGGTTAGCAAGGTGTGTGGGTCTTTGAGTGGGTATGTGGCTGAATGGGTATGTGGCTGAATGGGTATGTGGCTGAATGGGTATGTGGCTAAGTGGGTATGTGGCTGAGTGGGTATGTGGCTGAGTGGGTATGTGGCTGAGTGGGTATGTGGCTGAATGGGTATGTGGCTGAATGGGTATGTGGCTGAATGGGTATGTGGCTGAATGGGTATGTGGCTGAATGGGTATGTGGCTGAATGGGTATGTGGCTGAGTGGGTATGTGGCTGAATGGGTATGTGGCTGAATGGGTATGTGGCTGAATGGGTATGTGGCTGAGTGGGTATGTGGCTGAATGGGTATGTGGCTGAATGGGTATGTGGCTGAATGGGTATGTGGCTGAATGGGTATGTGGCTGAGTAAGTGGGTATGTGGCTGAATGGGTATGTGGCTGAGTGGGTATGTGGCTGAGTGGGTATGTGGCTGAGTGGGTATGTGGCTGAGTGGGTATGTGGCTGAATGGGTATGTGGCTGAGTGGGTATGTGGCTGAGTGAATGGGTATGTGGCTGAGTGAATGGATATGTGGCTGAGTGGGTATGTGGCTGAGTGGTATGTGGCTGAGTGTGGTATGTGGCTGAGTGGGTATGTGGCTGAATGGGTATGTGGCTTGATGGGTATGTGGCTGAGTGGGTATGTGGCTGAATGGGTATGTGGCTGAGGGGTATGTGGCTGAGTGGGTATGTGGCTGAGTGGGTATGTGGCTGAGTGGGTATGTGGCTGAATGGGTATGTGGCTGAATGGGTATGTGGCTGCTATGGGTATGTGGCTGAGTGAGTGTATGTGGCTGCATGGGTATGTGGCTGAAGTGGGTATGTGGCTGAATGGGTATGTGGCTGAGTGGGTATGTGGCTGAAGTGGGTATGTGGCTGAAGTGGGTATGTGCTGAATGGGTATGTGGCTGAGTGGGTATGTGGCTGAATGGGTATGCTGGCTGAGTGGGTATGGTGGCTGAATGGGTATGTGGCTGAATGGGTATGTGGCTGAGTGGGTATGTGGCTGAGGGGTATGTGGCTGAATGGTATGTGGCTGAGTGGGTATGTGGCTGAATGGGTATGTGGCTGAATGGTATGTGGCTGAATGGGTATGTGGCTGAGTGGGTATGTGGCTGAATGGGTAGTGGCTGATGGGTATGTGGCTGAGTGGTATGTGGCTGAATGGGTATGTGGCTGAAGGGGTATGTGGGCTGAGTGGGTATGTGGCT